TCTATAGATATGAATCGCATTACTGGTTTTCGGATACAGAACTTTACTGACATGGCGTTTTTACTTTTTCTCTGGGTATTGCTGTTCATTGCATCATACTGCACGTTGAGCCTGTTATTTATTTTATTTTTTTCTGCAAACATGCACCTTTTTGGTCCTTTTCACAAATCCAATGAAGCTTTTGGTCCAACCCCCCCAAAAATGTCTAAATTTCTCATATATAAAATACAAATAAGCTGCTTTTTCCACAAGTTCTAAATAGGTTTTATTATGATGGAATGACATGAACATTTGTGAATCACAGTTAATTTGCGAGCTAAAGCTAAATGTACTTCACCTTCTTAAATGCCACAAAACATGTCTGCAGTTTTCAACTGAGAAATTTACTGTAGATTTTAAGGTTGAGATCATCTCAGATTTTTTTTGTAACCACATGTCCTCAGTTGGGAGACACAGGTGAACATGGGATGCTGAAGCCAACCTCTTCTTCAGTAATGCATATTGTTATTATGCTAATATAATAAATGTGAAATGCCACTACATTAAATGTGAACTAAAACTGGATGACTACACTGCTGCAATGTAAAGGCTCAGCCAGAGCAAGGATAGTCTTGGAGAGTTTTTGTGTGGTTTACAGGGGTTCCCAAACTTTTCCATGCCATGACCCCCCCAAACAACATTAGCTTCTGGCCGAGGCCGCCCTCGCAGACGCAAACCCACAGACAATGCTACAAAATATGTAAAGAACCATTAACTTTTAGAATGTTTTAACTTTTATTCACTATATTCAATTAATTATTACAGCTGCTGAGCATAAAAATGTTATTAACTAACATGTTTTAAACACTTACATTCCCACTGGAAAAAACAAAAGAAAAACTTTTCAACAAACTGTTGACCAGAAGAACAAAACAAAAGAACTCTAACCTCTCTCTCAATCTGGATATGACAAATAAAGATTACCCTAGTGTGCAATTTATATTATTATTATTACAATTTTTTATTTTTGCTTTAAAAAAATAAAATAAAATCTTATTCTCTCCAGATTTCTGAGACCCCGCTGGCACCCCCTGGTGGACCCCCAGGGGGCTGCGGCCCCCCACTTTGAAAAACATTGTAAGACCTGGACATTCTGGGCTATATTGAATATTTTCTGTCATAACAAGAGTTTCCATGCAGGTGTCAAATACAGCTCTTGTACTCTAGAATTTAAATAAATCAATTAAAGGACAGTGCCAGTGACAACCTTGTTGCTTTTTTAGAAAAATTTGTTTCAAAAATTTTTTTAAACAAGTTGACAATTCAAGTGACAAGACTGCAAGCCTCTGCGACTCAAGCAAGGATGTTTAGAATCACCATGAACCTTTAAAAAACACTTTTTGGAAACCATAGAAAATACCAATCAGCTACTAAAGTTGCAGCCCAGAGATACTGGCACCTAATAAGTTACTGCAACTCTCTTGGTGGCGTGGCGAGCGGCTACTTGCATCATGTCCCGCCACTGCTCCCACTGCAGCCAGTGGGCTCATGCACTTTTTTCTCCTCGAAGACACAAAGCAAGAAACTTCCTATCATTGTAGGAACTGCTAGGGGAGAAGGAAAATAGTAATGTGACTGAGGCCCTGCAAGAAAACCCCCTTCAAATCCTCATGCTGCTGAAACGTGTTTCCTCCTATACAGCAAGGTTGAATCTAACAGTGGATAAAAAGAACTCCTCCATACATGAAGGACATTTTCACAGATCATGACAAAGTTGTTGAAAGACCCTACAGCAAATGTGATATTTGTGGCAGTGTGGTGGTATTTGTGGCATGATCTTGCACGTATTCTGACGGGGTCTAAGAGAGTCCTGCCAGGACAGGTACATACCGGTAGATCATCAAAAAGATCAACAAGGTACAAAATGAAAATAAAATCAATATAAAGAGCTTGAGTCAATGAAAGAATGCACAAACTTTATTATTTCTTCTTTACAAAACATTACAGAGTCACCCCCAAAAACAAAATAAAATCAAATAAATCCAACAGAGATCTTAGGATGGGTTGTTTTAATCTTGATTTGACATTTTGTTTTGCTCAAACAGATTTTCAACGTAAAAGTCTATTTAAGTGCTAACTTTGAGTTTTGCAGCTCTGGCATAAAAACAAAAAACTAATAAGAAAAAGCAACAAAAACTATTTCCATTTTGCTCTGAAAATTAAAAGAAAACAAAAGGGATGGTATAGAAGAAGTACACTGATACGTTTGCTAAGCTGTCGCACTGAAAAGTGACTGTTGTCATCATCCCACAATCAAAACCCCAAATAGTCCACAGTACGGTAGCTTTTGTGCAGTTTGAAAATTAAATTAAATAAAAATGATCAGATTTGGTGACACCATCCAAAAAAAATAAAAAAATAAAAATCAGTTCTGCATTTCAGAACGGTGGGAGAGAGGTCACAGAGAAGAACAAATAAAAGCCTTGATGAGTTCAGTGCATCTGATTTTTTTATTTCTGATTTCTGTGTATTATCAATGTGTCATCATGTTGTTGTGAACCTGGAAGTTTTTGTGTTTGTTTCATTTAGTTTGAGTTTAATGTGGGTTTTAGCTTACTTAGCTTCCTCGAGGCCCTCAGTTACCTTGGTTTTACTGCACCCTACAGCTACCACCCCTCTAGGGGAGGAGAGCTATCACCCCTCCCAGAATTTATTTTTTTGTTTTACTTCTTCTCTACTTGTTCCTTGCATTTCCTCCAGCTGAGTTTACTTGTCTTTGCCGCCTTGTCAAATTTTTGGGGTTCCTAAAGCTAAGCTTATTTCAGCTTCTGCTGCCTAAAAGTCTGTATTCTGGTCATCACACACCCAAAACATGTCACATGAGTCATATAAAATCAGAAAAAAATCTATCAAACTGCCTTGATAGTCAAAGTATCACTAGTTACACAGGAACCACAGCTCAAAACACATCCTAACCAATATACAAAGAATTACAGTATTTAGACAAGATGTGATAAAAGTATGAATAACTTTTTAATTTGACAAGGAGATACAATTCAAATCTGCGTTGGAAAAATATTTATTTTTAAAACAGCTTCTATCTGCTTAGCTGACACAGGTTCTGGACAGCAAGGAAGCAGAAGCATCAACTTAACTGATAAATTAATTATTTCCCCCAAAATAAATTGTTTCTGTCTTCTTTTCATTGAGACAGAGAAAGTACAGCTTTGTTCAGTTGTGATGGTGGATTTTTAAAGTCTAATGGGCAACTTCATTAACTTGGAAATTGAAACAATGGAAAGGAATAGTCTTTCCTGGAAATATAATGTAAATGCTACATTTAAACTCTCAACTGTAATGGACCCAACATGGATCCCTGAGGAACCCTATCAATGAGACGGGCTGCATTTTGTAAAAATTGAATAATTGATTTATATTTAATATATATAGTATATATAAAAAACGATTTAATTTGCTTTATGTACGCTAATGTTTGATACGTGCAAACCAGAAGTGCACTATTGCATTTTCCATGCAACATAGTTTGTCACATTTATTATATTTATGGTAAAACAAAGAAATAGATAAAAATACAACAAAAACAACAAAAAAGTTTTCAGTCCTGGTGTCAGTCTTCAACATCCTTAAATCAGCTATGAATGCAAATATGCTACAGCCATTTTTCAGACTTCCCCTTAAAGTCTATGTCTATTACATAATAAAATATGAACAACATGAATACATGATTGCGTAGTACGTGAATAAAATGGCGTTTGTTAATGGCATGCACTTAAATCTTATTCTTTACTGTAGTCATTTCCAGGCTTTCGTTATCCACCTTTTGGTCAAATGTCACACGGTAATCAAGGAAACTCATATTTTCACATAAGAGTGGACATCTACTGGTTTCTACCTTTAGAAATTTCAATCAGGACTCAGTGGAACAGATTCATTAGCTTCACAATTCACTCAATTTTGTTTGTCTGACTTTTGAAAATAAAGCGAGCCATGTAAAATGTCCTATGATGTGCAACACGTAACACCATTAAAACAAGTACACAGTAGATTACTCTTTGCATCCATCATAGAGTTAGTGCAAATCAAAAGAAAATAGAGCATCAAGTGTATAAATGCTTTATCTGCATTATTGTTCACTTATGCAAAAGGACATCATTGCAAAAGTATGTAAGATGTAGGATGGATCAAAATTAATTGTGTCAGTCTTAAGATTAATTTTAATTTCATGTATAATACAATAAAACTAAAAAAAAGTGATACTGTATAGGAGATGTCGTGATGGGTACTTGACAGATCGGAAACATTACAGGAAAAGAAAACCAGAGAGTTTCAAACAAGTCTGAGGAATCAAGTAACAGTGGAGATGCACGTGTTTACAACATTTACTAGAAACTATTAAAGTCAAAGCCGCTCAAACAGCGGAGAAGACAACCAGAGGAACCAAGTTTAACCAGGTTTAATGTCATTTGCTCAAGTGTCATGTGATGCACTGAGGAAGGACGGTAGAAACTAGAGTGTGCCCATTCCAGTGACTTCAGACGTCAGCCTAAAACAGTTCAGGGGAGAAGGGGGAGAAGGGGGTAGGGGATTGGGTGGTGGACAGAAAATTAAAGAAGTGTGAAACAGGAAGGTTCTACAAAAGCTGTACTGAATTCCCCGGTACATTTTAGCTCAGCTGAGCCGGACATCATTATCGGGTTGTACCGGTTCTAACCAAACGTCTGGACAGATGTGGCAACATGCACCAATAAACACTTTAGGAGGCCATGCAGTGGAGTAAAAGCAATGGTGTCAGAAACTGCTGTAGCCTCTGACAGAAGCATCACATCATTTTTACAACAGTAAACAGCAGGAAATGTGTTCTTTCTTGTTCCTTTATTTTTATTTTTTTTTTCCTTTTACATACAACTCTATGTAATTTTATCTTATATGATAATGATCAGGAGAAACACATTGTTCATAGTTTAGAAAATAAAAGAAGACACATGTCTGTCCTAAGATTTAGGGTGACTTCAGGACGTTGTCATGGATGAGGGGTCATTCCACATGGCGGCCACGTCCCTGAACCTGCCAGTGGGATTGTGGGAGAGCATTAGTTTCTTTGTGCCGTGGTTTTTGAAATGTGTTAGAGAAGTATGAAACACATAGTCTGTTGGTTTGCCTGTGAAAAGGCTAATCACGTTTAACTCAGAGATTGAGGCAAAGACCTGTTTAGCTTGAGAGTTTTACAAGATTTTGCCTTTAAATATATTTACCTATACAAGACATGATCACAATATACCATTTGCTTTTAAATAACCCCTTGTGTTGAGCCCTTTTTAAATATTCAAACCTAAACCAGTATCTCACTGGGCTGCGACTGTTCATGACAAACTGCAAACAGCTTTCGCAAGGTAGTGGAGAAAAATGGCCAGTAATGTTCACAAGGATTCTTAATTTCCTCGCCTGAATCACAGGACCTTGTTCTTGTGTTGCAATAATTTTAACCATAAAAAAGTGAAAACTCAGCGTTTTCGTGGTCATTTGGAAACTGTCTCAGACTTTTCTCAAATTAGTCAAGACGAGTGTGAAATGAGAGACAATCTTGGGAGGGTCTGGAGACAACAATTAAATATGTTGTAAACAAATTGAGACATTTTTAAGACGATTTGTTCTTAAACTGAGACAAAGTTGCACATAAATTACAGGTTGCTGCATGATTTTACAATTTGTTTGCATTTATGTAAATATGTTATAAATACCAATTTAGTGTGATTCAGAATGAAAACACATGATAATTGTCACTTTGTGTTTCCAACCAGACAACAGCCACAGCCCAGGGAGCTACTGGCTACGTGAAGATACTGATTATTATTAATTTACAAAGCTAAAGGCTTTCCAAAAATGCACAGATTTCTTGACTCGGTAGCTGACATCACTACCATAAATTAATAGCAAAAAACAAACTTTTTTAAAAATAATTCCCATACTTGAGTAAAAGTGAAGAAAAAGTTATGAACTTATTCATCATTTCTTCTGCTAAAACATTTGTCAGATAGTTTTTTTTAAAAATATATTTACATTTTTCAAAGCATTGATATACAAAAATCACAATATATTTTTCTTTTAATGTTTCTAAAAAGCACTATCAGATGAAGGTTTTACTATCTAGGCATGACCATTCACATGCTGCTTTCCTATTTTGGATTGGATTAAAATGTTACCTAGCGTTGATGAGGTACTGAGCCAAGCTGATGTTAGCAGGGGTCCCTGTGATGGTTATCTGCCGCTCAGACGAGCCCTCCATGGCATTCGCAATTTTGATCTGCGCCCCAGACATCTGGCGGATCTCATTTATTTTGGTTCCCTGGCGTCCAATAATACAGCCTATTAGCTAGAAGAAGAAGAAAAAAGTCTTAGTCTGAAGAAAGTGAGATTTTGCTCCACCCCCCACTTCTACTGCTCACTTCTGCATGGGTTGCCATAGCAAGAGAAAATGAAAGATTTGAAAAATCAATTTACTGCCCTTCCTGACGCAACCTGGACTCAAACCTGTCGCATCGGGATGACAGAACTATGACACTGAACACTGAGCTACTGCAAACCCCTATAGAAAAATATGTGGTGTCAATGTTGCTTTTGTCCTATAGCACATTAAAAACAACAGATGTTGACCAAATTTCTTTACAATTTAGCCAAACAAAATGTTAAAAAAACACTAAGAATAGCTTTAAAATGTAGAAAATATTAAAAGAACAAATACAGAAACAATAATACCACCAATTTAATACCATCTGTTTAATTCAAAATATAGGATTGTATGAGTGAATGGGGATAATGTTGGTGGATTGTTCGGTTAGGGTTTTCTGCTTTATTGGCCAATAGTAAGATAACAATTTAAATTTGGAGGATTATTGTTAGTGATAATAATCAGATTTTGTACTACATAACTGAACTGTGACTTATTAGTGTCCTCCATTTTTCTTGCTCGCTATAAAAGGTAGGTAATCACAATTAAAGGCATATTTTGTCTGACTGCAATCTTGTGAACAAGGGAATGGATTTTGATGAAAAACTCAGAAAGTTATAATTTAATAAACCATACAACTGACAATAAACAGCTATAATTTAACCAATTTCACTGATATTGTCCTACAATTTGCTCTGGTAGTAACTGAATGTTTGAGTAGAATCAGATCATGGGAAATTTTAGTTTAAAACTTAGGCATTAGGTGTATATGTAAGTCTCTCTTTAGCCTTACTCACATCATTAGGAATAGTGAGTTCATGAGTGCTGGCTGGTGAACTGGTGTCCAAACCTGAAAGAAAAATAAACATTTCAATTGGAAAAAGCCACTTTAATAGACCTTAAATAGTTAAAATAAATGTTTTGTTTGCTCTCTTTCTTGTGGCACATATGGGTTAAATAGGCAGATATTCCCCTCTCATAGAAAAGCCAGAATGATTAACTCAACTTAACAAATAGGCAAGAAATGAAGGAAACTATAACCCCGGCTTTGCCTAAAACACAATGCATCTATAAAGAAAATGTTCCAGCTAAGCTAAAGATTGTATCTCACTGTGCTATGACTATTGGAGGCAAGTTGGCCAATCAAACTTGACTCAATATTGTGAGAAAACATGCACATGTTCAGTTGCAGCTTCCCTGAATTATGTGTGCGTGCAACCAAGAAAACCAGTTGGACTTCCATCCATCCATCCATCCATCCATCCATCCATCCATCCATCCATCCATCCATCCATCCATCCATCCATCCATCCATCCATCCATCCATCCATCCATCCATCCATCCATCCATCCATCCATCCATCCATTATTTTCCGCTTGTTCCGAAGTCAGGTCCCGGGGGCAGCAGCTTGAGCAGGGAGGCCCAGACATCTCTTTCCACAGCCACTTCTCCCAGCTTTTCTGGAAGTACCCCAAGATGTTCCTGGGTCAACCGAGAGACGTAGTTTCTCCAGCGTGTCCTGGATCTTCCCCGGGATCTCCTCCCAGTCAGACATGCCCAAAGCACCTCCTGAGGGAGGCGCCCTGGAAGCATCCTTACCAGATGCCTGAACCATCTCAACTGACTCCTCTTGATGTGGAGGAGCAGAGGTTCTACTTCGAGTCGCTCCTCACCCTATCTCTAAGGGAGAGACCAGCTACCCTGCGGAGGAAACTCATTTCAACCACCTGTACCCGCAATCTCATTTTTTCAGTCACTACCCAGAGTTTGTGGCCATGCAGTAGGTAAGGGTAGGAGTGTAGACTGACTGCTGAACAGACAGATTTGCCTTATAGCTCAGCTCCCTCTTCACCACAATGGACCAGTACAGAGTCTGCAATACCGTAGACGCTGCGCCAATCCATCTGTCTGTCAATCTCACGCTCAATTCTTCCATCACCCATGAACAAAACCCCAAGCTACTTGAACTCCTCCACTTGAGGCAGAACCTCACCCTTGACCCAAAGAGAGCAATAACTTGTTTTTCATTAATTATTATTTGTCATTGGCAGAACTTCATAAAGCGTTGAAGAGGATGAAGAAGGGAATGGCTGTTGGACCTGATGTCACACACTGGAGGTTTGGAAATGTCTTGGAGAGATGACAGTGAGGTTTTTGACTCAATTATTTAAAGGGATTTTTGAGAGTGAGAAAATCTGAGATATGGAGGCAAAGTAGGCTGGTGCCCATTTTTAAGAACAAGGGTGATGTACAGAGATGTAGCAACTGCAGGAAAATTAAGTTGATGAGTTACACAATGAAGAGAAGAGAGACATCTGGGGGAGAGAGTTGTGGAAGCTAGACTTAGCTGAGATTTGACTATTTGTGGGCAGCAGTATGGTTTCATGATGAGAAAGAGCACCACTGATGTCATCTTAGCTTTAAGGATGTTGATGAAGAAGTACAGAGAGGGCCATAAAGAACTCCATTGTATCTTTGTGGATTTAAAAAAAAGCATAGGGTGTCAAGGGAGGAAATCTGGAGTTGCAGAGCCGTATGTTAGACTGGTACAGGACATATATGAGGACAGCAGGACAGTGGTGAGGTCTTCTGTAGGAGTGACAGATAGCTTCAAGGTGGAGGTGGGATTGCATCAAGGATTGGTTCTGAGCCCCTTCTTGTTTGCTCTGGTGATGGAGCGACTAACAGATGAGGTCAGGCAGGAATTCCTGTAGACTATGATGTTTGATGACGTGATCTGTGGTGAGAACAGGGGACAGCTGTAAGAAAACTTAGAGCGGTAGAGGTATGCACTTGAAAGAAGAGGAATGAAAGTCAGCCATAGTAAGACAGAGTACATGTGAATGAGAATAAGAAGGAGACAGGTAGAACAGTGAGGCTGCAAGGAGAAGAGGTCACCAAGGCATAGGACTTCAAATACTTGGGGACCACTGTCCAGGAAAATGGGGAGTGCGGAGGTGAAGAAGAGAGTCCAGGCAGGATGGAGTGGATGGAGAAAAGTTTCAGGAGCGATTTGTGACAAAACAGTAAGCAAAGGTCAAAAGAAAGGTCTAGAAGACAGTGTTGAGACCAGCTGTGTGATTTGAAGACAGTGGCAAAACGACATGAGACCGCACTGGAAGTGGCAGAGGTGAAGATGTTGTGGTTCTCCTTAGGAGTAACAAGGATGGATAATTAGGAATGAGATTATCAGAAGTACAGCACAGGTCGAACAACTGGGAAATAAAGTTAGAAAAGCCAGACTGAGATGGTTTGGACATGTCCAGAGGAGGGTCAGTGGGTATATTGGTAGAAGGATGTTAGAAATGCAGCTGCCCCGAAAAAGACAAAGAGCAAGGCCAAAGAGGAGATTTATGGATGCAGTTAGAGAGGACATGGAGGTAGTTGGAGTGAGGACAGAGGATGCAGAGGACAGAGTGAGATAGAGGAGGATGACTCGCTGTGGTGACCCTTGAAGCGAAAACAACTGAAAGAAGAAGATCAGCCTGGTTTTTAAACCTGGACATGTAGTCTGTCAGAGAAGAATTTCCACACTATTATGAAAATACTTAATCAAAGACGTGTTTGATACACTTATGGCAACACAGAGAATAGTTTCATATGGTTTGACTATAACTGCAACAACTGACTTTTTCGAGAAGAAAATTTGCTTCACAAGCTACCTTTCAAATGCTGTTCACCATCTAGTAAACAGAACCCAGTGAAATACCTAATGGTAGCCATCTTGGTTTGATTTGGAAGTGAATCATTTAGTTTGCTCTTATAAGCAAATGTCCAGCTTTAGGTGTTGCTCAGCTGTTGTTACTCACTCTGCTATGTTAGGACATGTTGAAAGCAGCACAATTAGAGAAAAACAACACATTTGTGATTAGGGTTAAGCTCTAAAACACAGTCAGAATTATAAGATGGTAATTTTTGATTTTGAAATACCGTTACACCATTTCATGTTGTTTATCTGTATGACACAAATATGCAGTAGTTTAATACATCATGTCCAATTGTGTCTTGCTTTTAGTCTTGTTTTTATTCTAAGGACTGATGACAAACACCTTTAAAAAATATAAATAAAACAAACATTAAACCAATATTTATAATGATCTTGAAGTCAATGAAACCTGGCATTAACAAATGTACCTCTAATTCATCAGTGTTAGGTAGGCTGACACAAAATTTCATGGTTTTAAAATTTTTAATCAAAGGACAGATGCCTTTTATCCAACAAACAACGAAAAACGTCCAAAGAAATTTTAAAAAGAAACCCTAAATCTAGCCCACATTAAGTTCTTTATGTTCTCCCCATTGATAATTTGGAACTTACTCTGTTAGTAAGATAAGCTATAAAAAAGAAAGAATCTTGTGTTGAGAAGTACAGACAACTTTTTTTTTCCATCCATCCATCCATCCATCCATCCATCCATCCATCCATCCATCCATCCATCCATCCATCCAATTTACCCACTTCTTCCTTTTTGGATTGCGGGGTTCACTAGTGCCCATATCCAGCCATCACTGTGTGAGAGGCAGGGTACACTCTGGACAGGTCTCCAGTCCATCACATGGCCAAAAGAGACAAACAACCATTCACTCTCTCACTCACACCTAGAGACAATTTGGTTACCAATCAGCCTAACATGCATGTTTTTGGTCCGTGGGAGGAAACTGGAGTATCCAGAGAAAATACACGTATGCACAGAGAGAACCTGCAAACTCCACCCAGAAAGGCCCCCGGACCGGGATTTGAACCGATGTAACCTGCTCGCTGAGAAGTAGTAGCTCTACCAGTTCCGCCCCTGTGCTGCCAATAACTTTATTTTGAAGTTTTAAATTAAAATGTCCTATTTTATCTTTACGCATTTTAAGACTCTACATACTGCATTTTTCAGTCTTTCACTTTTTTTTTTTTTGCACAGCTGTATTGATTAAATTACAAGCACTTTGTGCTCCTGTAATTTGAAAGAAAATTACAACTTATTTGGGGTGTAGGGTCGATCCACGTAAGCAAGATTATTCAGGAGCTTTTCAGAAATTATGTTCAGTACAAATAATAATGCAGCTATGCTACAATTATTTTTGTGAAAAATTTAAACCAAGCTATAATTTTCTTTCCGTTTTATAATTTTTATTAACGTGAAGGTTCACAGTATTGCAAAGCATGTATATTTTCCGTTGTTTGGAATGTGTGGATGAAAAAAACCTCAAAATTTAATTTTTAAAAAGTAGTCACATGAACACTGACTCAAGTTATCCAAGTTCATGCTCAATAATCCAGGTAAAAAAAAATCCAATGAAGTTCAGTCAGCTCATCTGGACAGTTTCTTTTTTTGTTGAGATGTTTTGTCGTTCATCCAAAGGACTTCATCAGTCCAAGGAGTCACAAAGAAACTCAGTCCCACAAGCAGCAGACTCATAGTGGACTAACCAGTTTGCTGGTGATATGTCCACCAGCAACCATCCAGATGACCTGACTGAACTTTGTTGAATTTTTAAACTGGCTTATTGAGCATGAACTTTGATGTTTTGAAACACTTTGGCTAAGGCTGCCTCAGATGAGTTGAAGAGGGAGAGGGCAGGCCCCAGAAACGATCTCATCACCAGAAAACTGGTTGGTCCACTATGAGTGTGCTGCTTGTGGGACTGAGTTTGTTTTTGGCTCCTTGGACTGAAGAAGTCCTTTGGATGAAAGACAAAACATCTTAAAAAAAAACAAAAAAACTGTCCAGATGACCTGACTGAACTTTGTTGGATTGACTAAGTTGTTTTTAATGTTTTTCTGTACTTAATAATATTACAGTATTTTTTTCAACTTCTAATACTTTTTTAAAAACCTTCGAAATGACTAATAGATGTTTTATCCTACTCTAAACTATTTAATTTTGCCTTCAATAGAAAGTTAAGATGACAAATTAAATAAGTATTGGTGCATTTCCAAGTGTTGTAGCAGTGTTTTCTTTTAAACTTTTCTTTTAGACTAGTAAGGTATATTAAACAGAGGCAGGAGAAAAATATATACATACAAAGTCAAGGGAAAGAAACAGTTGGGTCCAAAACATGCTGTGCCAAAAAGAGAGACAAGGTGCAAGGTAGGGAAACAGAAAATAAAAATGTTTCTTTGGAGACAAAGAGATGGAAACTCCTATAGGGTCTTGTGGGTACGTACCGGGGAAAGCAGGGGTGGTCTGTCCGAGGGGGGTAAAGGGGGTTTGCTGCATAGCCAACTGGTGGAGCTTGGTCAACTGCTGAAGGGTCAGGAGGGAAAACAGAACTAAGAGGTTACTGTTTCACAGGTCACACCAAGAAATGAACCAAAACTAGAGTGAAGAAACAGTGAGGAGAAGAAGGCTCTGACACAAGGTGGTGGAGGACAAAAACGAAGAGGAAAAGAGATACAAGGACAGGGTGATTTTCTCCCATGGAGGTAGAGCTCACTAATAATAATGTCTGCTTCCATGTCATTTTTCACATCCTCAATGACGTCTGTTGCTTTTTTGCTCATCACTTTCCAAGTCTTTCCAAACGGCACATTTGAGTCAACCTCTGGTTCTACATGCTTGTCAAGAGCAGCCACTCTCCTCAGAACATGATTACAGGTTGTCCGTCCCTTACTGTGTAGCATTTCTGTCCCGAATGAGGGAAGGCGGTTTCTTAAAGACATCTTCGCCTTTTAAGAGGACTTTCTAATGAGGGTGGAAGACGGGTGTCATGCCTGTACGTGAGTGATTGTACCGTCAGCCACCTCTGATCTGCCATCAATCACTGACCAATTTTGCATTAGGGGATCTGACACAAGGTGGTTCTTGAGTTGCTCTAACGACAAGGACAGATGAAGGCAGATTATTAACGTAGGCTTTATGGTCCACTTGAATTAAAGGGGTGTCTACATCAAAACTGTCCCAGCGTTTTTTGCTATTACTTTTAGCACCAGTTTTGTCTTCGATCAGCTCTTTCCAACAGCTGAGCTGCATTATGACCTTAAACTGAAGGTACACACTGTATGTTTAGAGGCCCAAATACTTCTAAATAACTGGTGCATATATTTTATGTAGTTACATGTCGGATAATATATTTAAAGTACAACATAACTTACATCTGGATGTGGTATGGCATACTGTCCCTGAATTGTGTAAGCCTACAAAGAGAAAAGAAACAGCATAAATTAGAGAAAGCTTTAACAAAAAGCATCACTAGCTTGAAAATGCATTTGAATGTGCTAAATTTGGCTCTTAAGGTTTGAGTTAATCATAGAGAACTTTGCAATATCTTGAGCAGTTACAAAACACAGCTTGTGCATAAATATAAAGTCACTTTATGATCTAAAACACAATAGTTTAAAAGAAAAGCTTGGTTACATATGTAAAATGTTTGGATTTTATTTTTCTAAAGGCAGCCATTCTTCTTTTAGCCATTCCCATCCATAAGAAGCAAAGCGATACCATCTCAATGTTGACTTTTACCAGTTTTTTTTTTTTTTTTTTTTGGATGAAGACTGCTTCACAAGTGGCACTGTGTCACACGGAAGAGGATGATTTATTTTCACTGCTCAAACCTGCCAATGCTCGCTTTGCCACTGGTTGATAAGGCACACGTATGCAAAGGTGTAGATAACTACAGATGACAAACACTGAGATAATATGTATCAGTGGTTGAGAAAAGCTGAGATTATGCTGCACATGTGGAAGCTTTCCAGTGTTCAGTGAGCAAAATGACCCATTTCAAAACTTAAAATAATTGAGTATATGTTCAACTTATCAATCCACTTAACATAAATGGAGAAAACAATAATTTTATAAATCTTGCAGCCAATCTATCTAAAACATTCAACATTATCAGCCTCAGTAAAAACAGGGTCATATTACATTAACCTCTAAAGAACTAATTAAAACTAGAGAAATCAGAAAATTATAGAGTTTAGGGGTTTGTTAAGCTAATTTATGAGAATGGATTTTCATCATATTTTTCAATCTTCTGCCCTTAGCTAGTTACGTGTTTCATCACCTCTACTGTTTCAATCGGTGTTGAGGCTTTTTTATTTCATAATTAAACCCTCAAGAACTGACAACTGAAAATACTTCAACTAATTTCAGTATTAAATTTTGACAATTGTATTCACAGCTTTATTTAGTTTTGGCTGTTTTGCAAGCTGGACATGTCAAATTTTAGAGTTTATACTTTTGTACATTTCGCTAAATTACCTCTATCTCAAAAGCAGAACACAAGATTACACTTCACTGGAGGATCTTTGACTGTGCAGTGTGGTCAAACCACTGATAACTGACATTTCAGTTGTTTTATTTGCAATTGTCAGCCTTTACATGTGCTATTTGAAGCTGCCTAGAGCTGTTAGGTCTTAAACTGCCTATACATTGAGTTTAAACCAGCCCAACAATGAACTTGCAGCAAGACGTAATTTCTTTGAGAGGGATATAAAGCACATGGTTTCACTTTCGAAGGTAAAAATGCCCTCGGTTGCAGGCAGCAGCTGATGCTGCAGTAAAGATCTCAGGTTGGCTGAAAGCAGAAACTAATGAGCCGTGGCTTGTTCAGCACTTACCTGGCCACCAGAAAAAATAACAGGAGTGGAGGCGGGCTTTGGGCGGTATGGGATAGTGGCACCTTTTGGTGGGGACTAGAAGAAACGACAGAGAAACGAGGCAGAGTCAAACTGCTTCATCATCACAACTATTACTGCTTTTTGTCTGTAGATGTGAAAGCACTATTTGGATGACTTTATCTAAAGTTAAACTTCCAGCTTGGCTAGATTTACAGGACGACACGATTGTCACCTGCTAACAGGTAAAGCGGGTGAACATGTGACTTTTGAAGTCAATCTGATATGAGATGGCTGCCACAGCTTACTGACCATAGCAAACACAAAAATGACTGGTTTGACAGATACTGGTTACAAGTTAGTGTGGTAGTAGCCGAGACTCATTGCCAATCTATACTCGTGAGTGCTAACTGAGATCTTCAAACATTTGGCATGCAAGGTGACAAGGTATAAGTATCCCTTCAAGCAGTGGTGGAATGTAACAAAGTACAAGTACTTCATCACTGTACTTAAGTACATTTTTTATGTATCTGTACTTAAATAGAGTTAAACGTGGGCACTTTTGACTTTTACTCCTCTACATTTTACTTTGTACATTTAGCATCTGTACTTTCTACTACACCATTTCTATAATGTGTTGCGTTACACGTTGCATTCATGTTGCGGTTTTTTGATTTGTTGTATAGTTTGAAAGTAACCAATGGCGAGAGGGGAGTTGGTCCATTGCATCACCGCAAAGTGGGCAGGTAACGTTAGACTCACCTTCAAGAAGAGCTGGGCCAATGACGTATATTCCAGTATATACAGTATGCCATTGAGCTGGGCGCACCCACAGCACCACTAACACACCCAAACTGGATTCCACTGTGAAGGGTCAGCCAGAAGATATGCACCATCCATGGCCTTACTGAAAGACTATTGAATGACCATTGAAAGACTGTTCAGTACAGCAGGACAGATTCTCTCTCCCAGAAGAACCAGACTGGACTCAAAAAACGTTGAGAACCAACTTCTTCTGAACTTGTACAAGACATTCTTGCTGTAATATTAAAATGTGTCAGTTCATGATGGGATAGGAGACAAGAGTTGTCTCCAAATGGCTCGACACTCGGGTCCAAGTTTTGAAAATGGTGTCAGGAAGTTAAAATATTGTTCACTATTGACCCATGACAAGGTTGATGGACAGTATTTTAACTAGAGCTGATGACAAACAGGAGTTGAAATGATCAGATATTCTTTTGTTAGGTCTAATGTTCCTTTTTTCAGGCAAATAACTTTTACTTAAATGTGTTTACTGCAGTTAAAATGACACATTGGTTTTGTTTTGTGTTAAATAAAAACTTTCAAAGATGTAATCATTCCTTTTATTTTGCTTAATGACATTTAACTCTGCAGGTCATCCCTGAAACTCTGACGCACAGAATCACAAGTCCAAGTGTGAACTGTGTCACAGAGTAAACACAATAAAAACATGTATTATCTGCAGCAATGTTCATTAAAATGACTCAACACTATTAATATATTGCAGAAAATATACATACACACTTAATGATATTGTAGACCATTGTATAAGGTAATACATTCAGCAAGCACTTTTACTTTTAATACTTTAAGTATTTTTAAAAGCAAGATCTTATTTACTTTTACTTAAGTAAAAATGTTAATGTGGTACTTCTACTTTTACTAGAGTACATTTTTGTCTGTTTATTTGCACTTTTACTTAAGTACAGTGTTCGAGTACTTTCTCCACCACTGCCTTTAGGCAATGTTTGTTTCATTTTTAAAGAATTTTGAAAATTGTAAGCTGTGTCACTTTACCTCCAGCATGACCACACAGACTTGTTTGACACACTGGATGATGGCTTCTGGGGTCCCAGAGATTGTCACTGCACGCTCTGTGGAGTTGGGAAGCATGTCCCCCGCCACCTGAACTTGGGCCCCGGTGGACTGCAGGAGACAGCGAGGGATTAAACAAATCATTTTTGCAGGGTTACTTTGTACAAGTACTGTACAGGCTGTGCTCTGCTCTCACGGGTACAACCTCTGACTTCTGAAAGAACACTATTCTCACCAGCCCTGCCAACTCACTACTCCAAGTACCGGATAAATATGTTCTATTCTTGCATTATAGACCCAGAAAGAGCATGAAAATTAGGATGTGATTTGATTTGACCCTCAGATGTGACATCTGGGGTAGCAACATGTTGCCTTGAAGACTTTTCTTTTGGCACCTCACCCCTTGCTACGGTTCTTTTTTCTCAGGCCCCATCTGTTGACATTAACCTGAGGGAAGCAGTGAAACACTATCCAACTCCATTCTAACAATAGAGTCTGTTTAAACAGGAAGTTTGAGTTCCTTGTGGTTAAGTAGTTGGCAGCAAATATTATTGGCTTACCTCCCTCTGGCTGTCACTTAGAAGGGATGATAAGTTTCAGTTTTAATTAGTCTGTGGCTTCTGAGTGATGTCTTTAAATTATGTGCGTACCTGACATACAGACTGGAACAACTCAATCATTTGTGGATAAGGGAACAAAACATTATCTTCACTTTTTTGTCACTGACACCATTGGAAAGTTGACATTTAGCAAAATGTCTCAACAAACATTATACGGACTGCTGATATGGATAATTGTAAAGATGGCCTGCTGTTGTAGAAACACAGTATAAAATAGCAGCAATAATTGAAGTCATAGGTGGACAGCTTTGTTGCACGTCTCCTCTTTTGCTTTCAATTAGCTATGCCAACCAAAGGCTAAATGATGGCATTTCATGAAAACTTACATTCACTGCATTTATGTGGAATTTACTACTTTTCGTATCACAACTACATTCATTTGTATTTACACACCTGGTACGCAGTAAAAAATGAACATACTTTCAATAGTAAATTGAAAATATATTTTCTGCATCAGCCCTACAAAACCTTTCATTGTAGTAGGGATCATCTGGTTTGACCGCTGAAGAACAGATCAGATTTTTGGAAGTGAGGTTCCATGTAAAGATTATGATCTGGTAATATCTTACCGGTCAAAGATAGCTCTTTGAAATACACCAGCTTAGAGAATTCTAGTTTTATTTTGACCAGATTGAGTGGGGTCATTTTAAACCAATTCAAATCTAAAATAAAATGGCAAAGTTTTATGTAAACGTTAGTTTATAAACGTTTACATCTCAATTAGATTTTTTTAAAATGATATGTTTATTCCTGCACCAAAAATGCTACAGCTCACTGCTCCACCTCTAATTAATTATTCTATACTAATTGCATTTAATGTAACCATAAGATTATGTGAATATAAAGTGAAACTGAGTAATGTAGAGGTTTTAAACAGCATCATACCTGCAATGGGATGTTAAAGTCATTCAAAACAACACTGATCCACTTTGGTCTTCGCCCAGCTCAAACTAGCTATTGGCTTGTGAATTTAATAAGAAAAATACTACGTTTCTCCAAAATGAGATTGTTAAAAGTGCTGTCTACAACAGGTAAGACATGACTTGTTCTAAATAATTCCACAAACCCCCATGTCTAAAGATCACAACCATTATTTTAAGACTTCAAAAAGCATTGATGTTTTTATTAAAACCTAAAACTTTACTAAATCACTCTCTAGAGACACTAAAATCAGTACATAATATTTAGTTTACTGGTACAGTAAAGATTTTATCTTTGCCTTCATCAACATACAAAAAGTGATTTGATAGTTATGTTACATCAAATAAAAAAAAAAAGTAAATGTGTGTATACGGCAGGTCTAACTGAATCATATTCTTAACAACCCAAGTACTGGTTGAGAGTACTGCCTGAACAGTAAATCCCAAAATGAATTGGAAGAAATGCATCTATGTTTGTGTTAATAGTCATTTATGTGTACAGTCTTAATAATTCACTGAAAAAAGTCAGAATCTGTTCATGAGGGAACCTATAAAAACAATTAAATGTTTGATGAGATGAGATGCACACAATTTTCTGTTTGTTTTACAAAGGAGGAAAAGTAATATTGAATTAGAGAGGATTTTTTTAAACATTGGAGGTTATTAGGACATGTATGAGGAATATTATTTTATACCTCTCTCATCTCTTTGATTTTGGAGCCTCCTTTCCCAATCAGAGAGCCACACTGGCTGGCTGGGACGACAAGCCTTAACGTGACAGGGGGCTTGCTGGTTGCTGGGCTGTTACTCATGGAATTGATTATGTCCTGGAAAACAACAAACAGTAATTTATGTAGCACAAATCTGACCCCAAACATTCAAGGTGCTTAATTGCTTTGGTAACAGCTATTCTTAAAACAAATCGATTGATGAACATGAAAGTCTGTGCAAATTATTGGAAAAATATATTGTTAGAGCATTTTCCATTTATCGAATGTGCCGAAAGCACCCTGCTTCTGGGATAAATACTTGCAAAAGTGTCTTCTTCTTTTGGCTTTTCTCTTTTCAAGGTCACAACAGTGAGTCATCCTCCTTCATGTCACTCTGTCCTCTGCATTTTATGTCCTCACTCCCAACTTCCTCCATGTCTTCTCTAACTGCATCCTTATATTTCATTTTTGTCTTTTTCCTGGCAGCTGCATTTCTAACATCCTTCTACCATTATACCCACTGTCCCTCCTCTGGACATGTCCAAACCTTCTCAGTCTGGCCTCTCTAACTGTATCTCCCAGCTGTTCAACCTCTGCTGTACCTCTGATGATCTAATTCCTAATCTTATCCATCATTGTTACTCCTAAGGAGAATCTCAACATCTTCATTTCTGCTACTTCTAGTTCTTTCTCCTGTCTTTTTATACATATTTCTGTCTCCAGTCCAGACCATACAACATAGCTGGTCTCACAAATGTCTTGCAAACATTTCCTTTGACTTTTGCTGACACCCTTTTGTCATAAATCACTCCTGAAACTCTTCTCCATCCACTCCATCCTGCCTGGACTCTCTTTTTCACCTATTTTAACACACTCCCCATTTTCCTGGACAGTGGACCCCAAGTACTTGAAGTCCTGCACCTTTGTGACCTCTGCTCCTTGTAGCCTCACTGTTCCACCAGCCTCCCTCTCATTCACACACATGTACTCTGTCATACTACAGCTGACTTTCATTCCTCTTCTTTCAAGAACATACCTCCACCTTTCCAAGTTCTCTTCCACCTGTTCCCTGTTCTCACCACAGATCACAATGTCATCTGCAAACATCATAGTCCACGAGGATTCCTGCCTGACCTCATTTAGTCGGTCTAACACCAGAGCAAACAAGAAGGGGCTCAGAGTCGATCCTTGATGCACTCCCACCTCCACCTTGAAGCTATCTGATCACTCCTACAGCACTTCTCACCACTGTCCTGCTGTCCTCACACATGTCCTGTACCAGTCTAACATATCCTGCTGTCCTCATACATGTCCTGTACCAGTCTTACATACTTCTCTGCCACTCCATATTTTGTCATGCAATACCATATCTCCTCCCTTGGCACCCTGTTATATGTTTTTTTTTAATCCACTAAGATGCAGACATAATTATGGGTCGCATTTCTCAGTGCAGCCACGGCGTGGAGGGATTCCGGTTTAGTGGCCTCAGGATCCATCTCTGCTCTTTGCAGATGATGTGGTCCTGTTGGCATCATCGTGCTGTGATCTTCTGCTCTCACTGGAGCAGTTCACAGCAGAGTTTGAAGCAACTGGGATGAGAATCAGCACCTCCAAATCTGAGGCTATGGTCCTCAGTCGGAAATGGATGGATTGCTCTCTTAGGGTCAAGGGTGAGGTTCTGCCTCTAGTGGAGAAGTTCAAGTAGCTTGGTGTTTTGTTACGAGTGAAGGAAGAATGGAGCATGAGATTGACAGATGGCATGGTGCAGCATCTGCAGTATTGCAGACTCTTTACCAGTCTGTTGTGGTGAATAGAGAGTTGAGTTGTAAGGCAAAGCTCTCTGTTTACTGGTTGGTCTATGTTCCTACCCTCACCTATGGTCATGAACTCTGGGTAGTGACCAAAAGAATGAGATTGCAGGCAGTTGAGATGAGTTTCCTCTACAGGGTAGCTGGACTCTCCCTTAGAGATAGGGTGAGAAGGTCAGTTATCCGGGAGAGACTCCGAGTAGAACCACCACTCCTCCACATCGAGAGGAGTCAGTTGAGGTGGTTCGTCATCTGGTAAGGATGCTCCCTGGGCACCTCCCTAGGGAGGTGTTATGGGCATGTACAACTGGGAGGAGACATCAGAAAAGACCCAGGACGCGCTAGAGAGACTATGTCTTTCAGTTGACCTGGGAACGCCTTGGAATCCTGTTCAAGCTGCTACCCCCGTGACTCGACTTCGGAACAAGCGGAAGATAATGGATGAACGGATGGCACAAAGATGCAATGCAGTTCTTTCTGACCCTCTATATACTTCTCCATCAGCACCCTCAAAGCAAAGATGGCATCTGTGGTGCTCTTTCTTGACATGAAACCATACTGTTGATCACAAACCTCTTGTCTAAGTTTAGCTTCCACAGCTCTCCCAGAACTTATACATGAAAAAGTATATTTGTTCAATTTTACAGAAATCTCTGAGGACATAGTAGTTGACATCCTTGTTTTAGTCACAAATATATATATATATATAAATATATATATATATATATATATATATATATATATA